CAAACTTTATCCCTCAAAAAGGTTATCCGTTCAGACAATTACGCAGCGAATAAGTTTGAATAATTTATGTATGAATGACGCATTAGACATCGCTACGTTTATGCATGGTTTCCATGCTCCGCCCATGTAGCAGCAACAAAAAGAAGGCGTTTTCAATATTTACATAATTGAATAATTTTCTGTTGCGCCTGTATCCCCTTAATCTTTATTGCGTTTTCAACAATATTTGCATAATATTCAAAGAAAATACTGAAAATATGTGTTCTGCATGCTGTCTCCATTTACCCTCCTCGAGTTTTAGTTTTAGTGTTGGTTTCTTGATATTGAATGTATAAATGAGCCCATGCAACTGTTTTGCATCACCAATGAATGATGCCATTGATTATCGACAAGTGTTATTGATTGTTAGCTCAAGCTAAAGATTCCTCTTGTTTGTGCTGTGCATACTTAAACGAGTATAATTGAAGATATATTAGATATTGTTATATAGGTGCTGTGTATTTTAAATGTGATTGGTTCATTCGTAGTTACGTGACCAGGGCCGGATTAACCGTTCGGCGATAATGCATGACCATGCAGAACATTGAGAGGTGTAAGAAAAGTGAATTTCTATTAACTATAGCAGTGTCAGGGGGGGTTGGGGGTATCTCCCCTGGGAAGAAAATTTTCCGTTTTATAGTGCAGCAAATGCGATTCCCTGCGTTTTGGGGGTGAGATTTCTGTGACATCGAATATATATTGCATTACCTAAACTATAAATAAAATAAAAGGTTTTCTGAAAGAGGACTATTTATTTCCAACAACTGTTTAATTTTAGTTCTTGTAGGTTTTTGGGGGCCCTTGCAACCCTGGGCCCGGAACAAATTCCCCCTTTGACCTGCTCTCTGTGCAGCCCTGTCTTTACTTCAAGTCTTCAATTCAGTAAATTTTCCCATTACCCTAAAATTTTCTTGGAGAATCTGGTTGCAGGGGTGCCTTATTGGCCTCGCGTAATTTTTTTTGCTCCGATAGCTTAATATAAGCTTTAAAGGCATTTATTTATATTTAATGGGCCTCTCTTTTTAGAGTGACGTTATTTTATTTTGTGGCCATGCGGCTTTGGGGCCCTTTTTCCTTCACGCACCGAAAAAAAAAATTACTGAGAGTAGAGTAAAGCGCGGGGCCTCAAAAGCGCTGGGCCCGTGAGCGGACGCCCCTTCTGCCATATGGTTAGTCCGGGCTGTCCGGCTATGCGCATGACTTTAAATAAATGCAATGTTTCCCTTGCCAGGGAAACAAGTGAAGAATTGTTGCCCGCATATTGTCATAACAAAATAAAGCGTTTTTTTAAATGAAATTGGTTTGTAACATGTATGTCTTTGTTCCTATGTAACAAAGCACTTAATGTACACTATCTCGGGAAATAGTGAGTTTTGTTTTTCCGCGAGACTCGATGTTTCAAACATTCAGACTCTTGGGAAAATAAAACTCCGTATTTCGGGAGCATACATTAAGTGTATATAATAATGCTAGAAGAGAGTAAAAGAATCATATCGCGATACTATCTTCCCAAACTAAAACGCTTATTGTGAAAATCTCTTTGCAGGAAATATGGCCGAAAGTAAAGATGAAGATGGTTAGTTATAACTTGTTTTATATAGTATTAGCTTCTCGAACGCATGCGCTGTATGGTAGGAAAGTCTAAAGTTCAAGAACATTGAATTTGGGAATTCAATGGATAATTAGTCTTGATAAGTTTCTCGTCAGGACCGAAGTTAAAAGAATAGTTATTAAAAAAGTTGAGAATACAATGTCAAATAAAAAGGACAGATCAGGCCGACCAGGCCATATTATATGAAAGTTTATATAAAACAGGACGTCGTGAAATGATCAAACTGAATTACCTTTTACAGTATTTGAAAAAGTATAGAAAATGAGCAATGTATGGTGAAGAAACTAAAGACATTTATGTTGTTAAATTATAATTATATAGCGGGACAAAATCGTTAAGCTGGCTACGCCACTGCTCTTCTTCAACTGTTGCCGGGCCGGTTTTCAGTTTCTTATATATGCGGCAAAACGAATAATAGAATGACACGGATAATTTGCATCGTTGCATGACCGCTGTACTCAGTTGATCGAAAATTTTCATCATTAACAAAATGTCATCCAGTAAACACTATACCTCTACCTGCCTATTATCGACGGGTATTCGAGGTTTTCAGTTTCATCTCTGCCATGGAGGCCATTGGCCACTGCTCTATCTTAAGTAAATAGCTAATAAGTTTTTTTACTAGTTTTACTATTCATAATCAGTGACAGAATTAAGCAATTAAAACTGTCATTTTTTAGAGAACTACAATTTAGTTACTCAAAGAAAAAGTTTACACCAAAGTTTGTTTACTATAAGCATGATAAACTGATTTTTTAGCGCTTTATCTCGAACTTTCAGGCATAATTCTCAACGCAAACAGGAATCCGATATTTTCTTGTTATAAAATTCCTTTCAGACGTTTATCTACATTCGCTTACCTTTCTGGCCTTTTTAGTTCCTCTAGGGCTGTTTAATTAGTTTGCATGCAATGATGCAAAATACTTTCCACCATTTTGTTATTTGGAAAAATCATTATAATTTTTACTATAAATAACACGAGAGGACTGTAATTGTACATAAACAGTACATTTTGTCGCGCTTTATCGCGAACTTTTCAGGCATATACAATTAAAAATGGTTAATAGAACGAATATGAGTGAAATTAATGCCAAAATCATCAAGGGTTGGGATTAATGCTCATATCACACTCCTCTTGAAATGAAACTCAAGTAATTGCGATCGATTACAGATTTACAGTATTTAGTAACGATTACAGATTACAAAAAAATTTATATAATTTAAAATAATGGTAATTGCAATGGTAAGTGTGAAGTGCAATTTGGTATCAAATCAAACGCGTGATTACAAAATCGCACGACCGCGAAGCAGGAGTGCGATTTGTAATCACAAGTTTGATTTCACACCAAAATTGCACGACACGAAGTGCAATTTTCACTTTATTGTATTCATTTTGAAATCATTTTAGAATAATGCTAATGATAAACGCGAACCAACCATCGCTAACCAACCATCTTAAATAAGTTAATCTAGAGCGTCCTAAAGTGCCGACAGATGACAAAACTAGTCGTGACGACGATAACACATACGATCAGGTAATTAAACTCGTGAGGCTCGAAGCCATGAGTTGCCACGCTGCTACTTGGTTCCATTGGAACTTACCACGACTTACAAAACAGTTAAGATATAAACTTTTCTCTCTAATTCCTGATAATATAGACTGGGTTTTTTGGTGTGGTTATTATATTACTATCGGTTAAGCTTTGTTAAGCAATTATGAGCCTTGGAATGCATCCATTCCCACCCATCCATCTTTGATCTTTCTGCAGCACACATGAGGGAATTTCGTTTTAGACAAATCGGCAATTTTCATATGCCGTGATTTTGCAAAACGACGAATTACGACACTTCACGAATTCTAATAATATTATTGCTTTACATGCAGATTCCACCTTTACTAAGGACGCACGCTGATGGGGAGAGTACTGAAAGGAATCAGACTCTCGACCTAGTTGAAATTGTAGAAAAGATTTCGAATATGCCGAACACAGATGATTGTCCAAGACCTACTTCCAATGGTATCGTATTCCACTCAGATTGAGTTTTTCAAACTCTTGTTCAAGCCCAATAATCACAATTTATACTAATGAAAAAAGTTGGTAGCATAGAGACGATTTGAATTGGAGGCTAAATTTTAATGACAGATTGATCGGCAATTCGCGCTCCAAACCATGCACGCGTTGGTTTAATCACCTTTAGGCAAACACTGCACCTCCTAATGCTATGCTAATGAAATGCTACCATATTGTGCATGAGAATAATTCAATGCAATGTTTGTTCCCGTTTGTGCTAAAAAATGTAGAATGACTGAGGGTTGATTATCTGATCGTGCTATTTCTCTTAGCTAAAAATAAGTAAAAATCCGGGATATTGATCTTTAGGCTCTTGTTCTTTTATTTCAAATCTTTTTGTTATATACCTAGTGTCAAAAATTCATCTTTTCTGCTTTGCTATTGTTATGAGGTCCACGCGTGGAGGGCTTCAAATCTCCATGATTACGTGTAATCGACACGTGCGGTCATCAAACTTCAAAATTTTCCCTAGTTTTTTAAAGCCCTGTTCATATGATCCGCTTACTGAGATGTCTCACCTAGCGAGATGAAAATTTCCATGTGTTCATATGGTGTTTTCATCCCGCTTGCCGAGATAAAAATTTTTCGTTTCCAATGTAACTTTATGGAAATAATTTTCATCGATACAGAATAAAACGATCGCTAACGCGATTTTTTTGCCTTTAATGATTGTTTTGCATCGTAGGACATTAGTTAAGCGATATTTTTGATAATTTGTACTAACCCAAACGTAAAATTTGCTAAAAATCGTGCAAATTAGCATTAAAATCGAGTATTTATAGTGTTTAGATTTCATCCCGCCAAGCGGGATAGCGCGTTCATATGGGAATCGATTTATCCCGTCTACCTATGATCTCGCCTCTCAAAGGCGAGATCCCAGCTAGCGGGACAATTCGTTTTCTCATATGAGCACGTTGTAAGTTTTACTAGTAAAAGTAACACACGACGAGATCATAGGTAAGCGAGACGTCCCGGTAAGCGGGGTCATATGAACAGGGCCTAAGTTAACTTTATGTTTTTTCATATTTTGATCCATACAACTTTGCTTCGTATTCCCGTCTATACATGTCTATGATGTTTAGAAATTGGCTCTTCTTTGGCCTATGGTTTATTTTCATTTTAACACTAGATATAATACTGGACACTATAGATATAAGATACTGACACCAGATATATTTGACACTAGATATAAGTTACTTTTTTACTGACGCCAAGGGAAACAGTAGTTGTTGACCCGGGACCGCCGTTGTTGCCCGAGGCGCGGTGTAATACAAAACATGTCTTTTTTAGCACCTATTAAGCTGAAAGGTGAAAATATCCGTCGTTCATTTGATGATTCCTCGCACTCAGACTCAGAAGTAAGTATGCAGCTATGCATTCGATATGGTGATGATGATGCATGGATATCAGATTGAGGAAATTTTTTGTTTTGTAAAAACTTTTGTATTGTAACCATCTTCTATAAATTCGAAAAGCTAGAACTTCAGCGAAACAGCAAAGAAAACTAGAAAAGCATAACAAAAAACATGTTAATCTCGAATAAAAATTAGACTTCAGATAACCACAAAAAAAAACGTTATTCGGAGCGACTGAAGATCAATTTCGGCGGTTTGAACCTTCGTTTCACGAGAGCAGCGGCCTTCGGTTATGATTTTTGACCACGAAATAAAATCTTAAAACAAAATCATAGCAGATATATTACAACTCTTAATTCAATAATTTCCCTTGATAATGTGCAGCTGATTTCGCGCATTGGGCCCGGGAATTTAAAAATGGCCTGAAGCCCGTTTCCCAGTAGGCGAAATCCGCTGATGGGATCGGTTTGCGAATCTGAAATTGCCGCGAAAAGTGGGCTCGCTTCCTGCTACACCTAACAATTTTCAACATCAACTCGCAACAACACAACAATAATAAAAAAATTGAACAACAATGTTTTGTGGTTTGAAAGTAATACATAAAGTTTCAGTTCCAGTATACGCGTACGTAATGTCAAAATTTGCTTTTTTTACTTCGAGCACTCCAAATGAACTAATACATGTCATGCGAAGACACTTTAGAGATTCTCGGCACCAAATAAGATCCTGTTTTAAGCTCCGTCCTGCCTTTTGTAGCTCTCTAAAAAGACCAACGTTGGTAAAGAGGTTTCAGAACTAGATGAGATAGATGAGAATGTGAATAGAAGATCTCAATTAAAGAATGATCCTACAAACAGTTATGACAACTCAAAGCCTACTTCTAATGGTACTGATTAACTTATTTGAGAAGTGTTTATAAATTAAGGCTATTGCTTCATGTACGTACGTACTTATGACCGATTAAACGTCTCCATGACGATTTTTTCCAGCGATTAAGCAATAACTTTCTCATTGAATAAAAATAATGGCAAGATTTCTATCACATGCACTCATTGAGTTTCAGTGCGAGTTAGCATTTTTAATACCGGCGTTAGTTTCCAGTGGAAATCATGCATATACGTCGAATTCAAGCCAGGAATAGTTCAGAGAATATTAGTCAATATTCGCACGCATTACTATCCTAAACTCACACGTACCATGCTTCTCTCTTGTCAACTACCACTGTAGCTGGTTACAAGAGAGAGCATGGTACAAGACCTTTAATTGTACCGGAATTCTAAAGCGTAGGTTCCATTTCTGCCGGAGGACCGATAGTTGATAAATTTTTTGCAGGTGTTCCAGGCTTGAATTTGAGATGTGTATGATTTCCACCTGAAATTAAGTCCTTTTTCCTTAGCAATAATTAGAATCAATTCTGACAATTCGTAAAACATGTCAGAGAAATCACAATTCCCAAAAATGTAGTTTTTCTAGTCGAGTTTTTCTAGCCACACAGTCAGCCCTTTAACGTGAAGTGGTGTAAAGCTCCTGCCATTGTTATTTAGCCAAGTTCAACGTTTGGAATCATTTACAATTATTTAGATTCTCCTTTTCCTCCCAACTTACCAACCAGAGATTACCACAAAGCTTTTACATCCGAGGATAGAAACATTTTGCAAAAAGAAATAAATGTTAAAAGTAAGTTTCAATTCAAAATTGTTAAATTAGTACACTTTTCAAATACTAGTATATTTCGCGCCAAAACACACTTGCGACGACGAAAAAAAATTTAAAAAGCAAAAAACAAAAACAAAACAAAACATAGGCGAATTTTCAACTCCGTCGCTGTCGCCGGAGTAACAAGACGCCTGTTCTTGCGTTTACTCCGGCGTGCCGAGCACGTGCCAGTCTTCAATATCTGAACATAAAAAATACCGTTCGTATACTCATTTAGATGCCTTGCCAACCAAAATGTTGTTCGATCGCGAAATTCAAAAGCGCATCGTACTTTAAAAAGTATAGAAGTTCAATTGTTCAAAAATGTAAACAAGACGCCGTTCTGGCGTTAACTCCGGCGCACGTGCCAGTCTTCAATATAGAGCTTCTGAACATAAACAATACAGTTCGCGTATTGTTTCGCATACATATTCGCATTTAGATGCCTTGCGAACCTAAATGTTCCATCGCGAAATTCAGAAGCACATCGCAGTATAGAAGTTCAATTGTTCAAAAATGTAAATAAACCGCATGATACATTCGCTTCGTCTTACAGTTTGCCTTTGGAATTTGCGCTTATATAGTTATATTAAATCTCCGATCCTGTGCAAACAACGCGACGTGTCAACGCGCCCATACACGACCACATCATCTTGTTAAACGGCGAAATAGCAGCGATATTATTAAAATAGGACCGGAATCTACATGTATTAAATATATTCTTACCCCAATTCTATCTAAACTTAATCGAACAGCATGAAAAGAACGGTGTATTTGTTCCTCTTGGAGAAATTGCCGTATCATGCGAGCGAAATCGAATCGCGCATTGGAAAATTAGCCAAAGCTGTGCACCACAACTCTTGGGAGATAAGACTGGGACGTAGATAAATACGGTCACATACACGTTTTAAATACAAGTAATATTTCGCGCCTTTACACACTTGCGACGACGAAAAATAAAAAAAAAAAAAAAAAAAAAAAAACAAAACCGGGGCGAATTTTCAACTCCGTCGCTGACGCCGGAGTAATAAACCGCATGATACGTTCACTATGTCTTACACTTTGGTATTCGCGCTTATATTAAATCTTCAATCCTGTGCAAACTGCGAAGTGTCAACGCGCCCATACACGGCCACATCTTGTTAAACGACGAAATAGCAGCGATATTATTAAAAAAGGATCAGAATCTACATGTATTAAATATATTCTGACCCAAATTAAATCTAAACTTAATCGAACAGCGTCAAAAGAACGGTTTATTTGTTCTTCTTGGAGGAATTGACGTATCATGCGAGCGAAATCAAATCGCGCATCGGAAAATTAGCCAAAGCTGTGCACCACAACTCTTAGATAAATACGGTCACATACACATTTCAAATATTAGTATATTTTGCGCCAAAACACAATTGCGACGACGAAAAAAAAATAAAAAAACAACAACAAAACAAAACCAAGGCGAATTTTCAACTTCGTGGCTAACACCGGAGTAATTAACGTCCGATTGTCAGTCAGTCCCGTTGAAAATAATTTTGAAGGACGAAATATTTGCCTAGCTCCTTCAAATATTGTATTAGCACTATCGTTTTTAAGCATATTTTTTGAACCATCTGTGAACAATCATGATTTCTTTTTAGAACTCGGAGAGAAAATAAATGAATTTAAAAGCAAAACAAAAGAGTTCATTGATAAATTTGCAAGTACTAAAGACGAAGATAGAACAGCAGAAGAAATCTTTATCATCACCCATCTTTTAAATAATTCTGATCCTAAATCTCCAATATTGGATGGACAACTTGACCAGTTGGCAATGCTTGCTTGCTGTGACAGCTCTCGCGTAGTGAAAAGAGCGCTTGATGTTCTGCTAAATGAAATATTTTTAAATATTTCAGATTTATCGGTGGATCGTTGTAAAAACGTATTGGAGGCGGAAGAAGTTCTTCGCTCAACGTTTTTTCACTTCATAGATGTGGATCGATATAAAGCCAAGTGCCACAGGATGACGACGTATGCCTGGCTAATTACGTTAGTCCTTTTGAAGTTTGGCCAAAAGGAATTTGCCGAACTACAACAAAAAATGAAACAATTTGACCAAAGATTAAGCACACTCATGAAGCAAAAGGAAAAGAATGAACAAAGTCTTTACCGGTATGGTATTTGTCTTGCCAAAGAAAGTATCAAAAAAATTCTTCAGTCATCTTCTAAACGGGATGTAGCGGAATTCCTCAAGCACAACATCAAAAAGTGTGAAAACCTTCTGAAAGACAAGTTAGACAAGGATGAAGTAAAGAAGCTTGGTGAAGAGCTTAGTGATGCAGACAGTTGGTTGAATATTCATGTGTGCCTTGTATTTTTGCAAGATTTACCCAAGGTATGGTTCAATTGCTATTATCATTCACTTTATCGTATTCTCAATTTTGATTGGTTAATTCACCTGCTCATTACGTAACCTCTATTTCTGTGTGAATAAACTACATTTACTTTAAAAAACACAGTTTATCATTCTAAAAGTAGGCAGAATTGCCAAATATTTGATAAGGTGTTATAAGTATTATCATTTCCAGCATTATCATTTCCAAGACAACCCAAGACCTGTGATTCTAATACAGATGTTAGTTGCAGACTATCGCGGGCGCTTCAGTACCTCGAAAATCAAGAATTTCTTTAGAAATCAAAGACCTGGTTGGCAGTTTGAGTTGTTGGTTTATCGGGTGATGCTTAGATTGATTAGAACATCAAACAACAAAGGTAACGTCGATAATTTAGCTATGGCGTATTATACTAAACTAAGCTAGGTTCACTAAAATTTATTATCTTGTTCGGCTTACGAATACATTTATTTTCAAACAATAATATTTATAATATAACATTTATAGTACGCGCGTGCTGATTGATCGAGAAGCGTGTTTCTTTTTAACAATTAGTCGTCGAAGGCGAGGTGATTACACTGATTATTTCTCGTTCTCCCAAACTCCCATGCGTAACAAGGGGTAATTTCGTTTTAGATCAATCAACAGGTTTGTTTGCATTTTTAGTAACCCAATCAGAATGCATAAATTTTGACTACTTCCGGTAAAAAGGTACATAAGAGTACGTAAAGATACGTAAAAAGGTATTAAAAATTTAGGCAATCTGATTGGCTAAATTATGCTGATTAAGCATTCTGATTGGCTAAATCAGAATGTCTAATCAGCATAATTGACAAATATGCTGATTAGTTTAAAACGAAATTCTCCCTTTTCTTTAGAAACACGGGAAATGTTTTCTATTTCTTAAATATTATTAAAATAAGGCTCTTAATTATACATCTGCAATCGATGGCAAATACTGCAACTTCCTAAGCTAAGAGTAATGCGATTAAGCACTAATTGCACCCTTTGCGGGCTGCAATAGCCAATAAAGATCGCTCTAGTATAGAGTGATGGAGTTTTAGACACTTCATTTGTGTATTCACTTCGCCTTTCATGGTAAAATGATGCTTTATCTCCAATCATCAAACTACGTAGAAAATTCTTCCGGCGACAGTGTTCGTTAAACCCAGTGGCGTAACGGACGAAGATGGCCCTTAGGTATATTTTGTGTGGGGGCCCTAGCTGTTTGTCATGTTTTCACTTGAAAAATAATTTGAGAGCTATAAAGCTTGTAAATTTACATTAGTGTATTACTTCATTAGTTATATAAGTAATAGAACATAGTTAATAGAATAGAAAATTCTGCCATGGTCAATGGATACTCTATTATTTAATCTATCATCATTAATGCTGCATTTTCTTTTGCAATCAACCTCATACCCTAGGCCTATCTTTGGCATAAAAATTTGTTTTTAACCTGACTTTTTTATGCGATACACTGACACGCCGTTTTTTTTAAGAATCGTGGCGATAGACTGCAATCAATGGGGGCCTTCTGGAGCCCCCAACGGTCGGGGGCCCTTAGTTCTTGTCGTAACCCTACCTTACGTCCGTTACGCCACTGGTTAAACAATCTGGAGAAGTGCAATCAACGTGCGAAGTCACCTGCCAACAGCTCATGCCACACATGTATTCGGTATCGGTGCCATTTAATTTCAGTGCTTGTTATCCGGTTATAGCTTGCTCTGGAAATCGCAATGGGGTTGCGACGAGCACTTATACGTGAGGATTTTGCTGAAGTAGTTTTCTGACAGCGTCAATGTTGTGCACCGTTATTCGAATACTTCTTCGTCTGCCAGAATGTCCTTTATTAAGGCTTAAAATTGTACCTGCGTTTAAATACTTTTAAATTGTGCTTGGTGCAGGTGGATTTTGATCTGGAAACCTTTGTCGAAAAGGGTTTCGCACTTCCGCTGTACTTTGGGTTCGCGCACAATCCAATAAAATCGTTTATGCAACCAGCTCTGGTATTGCAGCGAAAAGTTTAATCTTTCAGCTTTACACACATTTTCACCTGGAAACATGGGCGAAAATATATACGATAATAATTATTGGGAAGTGAATATTCATTTATTTATTCTAGCCGACAGAGAGAATCATATCCGTTGGGCAGGACAGAAAATATGAATATTCACTACCACCTACCTCCCCAATTATTGCCCAAGTTTCGTTCCTGCCTGGAACCTATACAACGATAATCTGGCATAATGATTTATTCTTATTATATTTCTCGGGTTTTTCTATTTTGCAGCAATAGTTCAACAAGTCTTAACCGGGGAACAAGGCTGCCGTGGAGTTTTTAGGAACTGGGAAGAAGATAAATCAACGACATCGCCCCTGCGTCAACTAACGGTGAAACTTTCTGAGCAACTGTGCGAGAGAGCGGTTTTTATCTCGACACCACAGAGTATCAAGGAGTTTCTTGTGGATAGGTGCATTGAGGACTTATCCCTTATTCAGTTATCTTCAACATATAGAGATTTAGTATTGGAGATTTTTCACGAATCACAGATTCAGCTCTCGGCTTACCGCGTCAATACTTACGATGCATCGATGAGTGGCCGAAAATGCCTGTTGAAATTGCACCTGCATTCAAGAAAAGAATTACTTGAAATAGAATCTGGTGTCGCCCCCTCTTCAGGAAGAAATTGAAATCCTCAAGATTTTGAATGCTGTACAAAAACCATGCGAAAACATAGTCCGCCTACTTGGCTCTAGCATCGAGGCTCCTATTCACATGATAATAGAGAGAACACCGAAAGGCGACCTGTGGACATACCTTCACGATTTGACCAATCCCCCCCTTGTTGATGAGCTCATTCGCATTTCTCAAGGTGTTTGCGAAGCTATGATTTTTCTCGGTGACAACTGCATAATCCATCGTGACCTGTGTGCCAGGAGCTGTTTTGTATTCAATAATGATCCACAGGGGAACATGCTCGTCAAACTTGGTGATTTTCACCTCGCTATCCTTTCCTATTCTCGTTTGGAGTCCTGTGCTGTGAGTTCGTCCGTAAATGAATATCCAGAAAATGAATTTGCTGTGCGTTGGAGTGCTGTCGAAGCACTTCGGGACGGTGAATTTAGTCCTGCGTCTGATTGTGGTCGTTTGGTGTGTTATTGTTTGAGATTTTCACCTTTGGTTCGAGACCATACGTCAATATGCCAAGCGGAATGTCTTTACATCGTGACGAGGAAGTTCGGAAATATGTAAGTCAGTATAGATTAATATATACGACGATAATCTACATCTGGTATATAAACATCTCTAGATTTTTTATGTCATATTATAAAATAGATATAACTAAGTAAGATAGATATAACATCAGGTTATTCTGTCAAAAAAACTGAGGCAACCTATAGCGCAAAACTTTTCATTTCCAATGTCGAAGGTAAAAAGATCAAAAAGTTACATAAATTTGGCTTAACAAAAAGATAATTTGCCAGGGTATCTCTTATATCAAGCCACATTATAGGTAACAAGAAACGAAATCAGTATATTAGCTTGTAGCATGTAGGTACACCACGTAAGTATTTAACCCATGCAGGCCTAACCGAACGAAAAGAGTTAACGGATTAACGAACCGAAAACTTTGCTACTTACGTGGTGTACCTACAAGCTAATTTAATTAGTGATGCCTCACCATGCAAACATACAAGAATATTAAGAAACGAAATGTTAAATGTCAATGTTTCGCGTGACGGTGTAGCCTTTAGAAGATATTTTGGCAATTCGTGGAAATTTTAAAGTTACATAATTATTTATTTCTTCAGAAATTTAATAAAATAATTAATTTACATATAATTATGAACCCCATCTGCGTGCAAAAGTATAAGACCTCTTCGACGAAGCGTACAAGCGAAACATTTCCTAAATACACACATGCTTTCTTTTTGTAGGTTCTTAACGGTAATAAACTTGAACTTCATCCAAAAATCCCTGATTCAATTCGAAAAATTATCCAGTCCACAATGAAAAAGAAAGATCACAGACCAACGTTTAGACATCTGAAGTCTGATTTCATGGATCTGACTTTTCATCAAGGTATGTTTCAGTAACCACAGCTTTCGTTTCACAATATCCAACTTCTCCTAAAATGTAGCTGAATGCTGCTGAATCTCTCCTTTATTAAAGCAATCCGGATTAGCTGAATGATAAGAATATAGAATCGTTTGCAATGTGGTCAGTGGAAATGCCTACTGATTTGATAGATGGAAACTTTGATTGGCATTTAATTTGTAGCATTCAAACTTAATGCATTCTCAGTTTAATTAATAATTTAGGAAATTGTTCAGTATGTCTATATAATATACTTTGAAAATACAATTTTTTTCCTATACGTCAGATTTTCATGCATGCTGCCAAATTCCAAATTTGCAATGGTCGTTAATATTGTGTACGGGTTTTCCATGAAATCTAAAAGACACTAGTTGCTTTAATTATACACCAACGAATTGCTTGTACAGCGATTGTTCTCCGGTGAACCTTCAAACTTCCACTCGCTTCGTAAGCAATTCGTTAGTTTACTAGGGTTAGCAACTGGGGTTTTTTAGATTTTATGGAAAGTCTATATCACACAATATCTTAAGGCATTTGTTTTATTTTGTTTTTATTTGTAATCTTTCGTCAAACACAGATAAAACCCATAGAGGCATAGAGCTCATGCAGTGCTCCTTTACGGGTAGCTAAATTACGCATATTAATATTAACAACACATGCGGAAAGAGTAAACACGGGATTTTACACACGCTTTTGTTACAGTTTACAAGAACGCGAGAAAAATAAATCATGAAATACTACGCCATTTAGGTGATTTTTTTCACACATTTCTGTACATTTTATAGAGATTTATAAGGAACCGGCCCACTACCAAAAACTACATCGCAGCCCATCCAAAATAGTCCGTAAGTGTTTTTGGCATTTTTTATTTAACAAACCTTAGCAATAAACATAAATAACAGCTAACAAAAAATTAATAATGTTACCCATAATTATATATAATGCATGGCTATAAGGCGACCCAAGAGGGCAAATCCTGGGTAAGAGGTTGAAGGCGACCTTCTTAGTCATGTAGCTCATAATATTATTAAATATTTAATTTGATAGTGCCGAAAGATTTGCAAGTTAGAAGAAGTAACTCTGGATCGGAGTGAATAGCTGACATGAAGAATGTACTTATTAAAATTCAGTGGCTGCGTAAGATCGTTAAGTGAGGGATCTACTTTAGCAGACCGTAAAAACAAGGGCAAAGAAAGCCCCCCCCCTCAATATTTCAAATAAGGGGCCAACGACCCCAAATATTTTAGAAAGAGCGCTGTCATCAATATATTTTAAAGAATCCTACATTTAAATTAGGATTCAGAATTGCCATAATGGACTTGTCAGGCGAAAAGCGTAAACATACCGGCGATACGAGCGCTACTTAAAACACGGAAATGACAAGAGATTGACGATTTTCTGCCATACATTACAGTTTACTTGAAATATTTTAATCGGAAAGAGTTTCTTTGGACTGGAAAGAAGTGAGCGAGAGGAACTTGCATTTGACTTACTTAACCAATGACCCGATTTATACTAGAGACGGATCATCCGTCTGGACGAACTTGGGCAAGCTAAAGATAGTTCGTCTTCTAGTTCGTCTGTGTATAAACGCTGGCAAACAGACGGATCATCCGTCAAGACGAATTATCTCCGTAGCTCGTCTATTTAGACGAATTCGAACTTGCACGCGTAGTTCGTCTGGACTAATCATCCGTCTGTTAGTATAAATACGGCATGTGAACGAACTACGGAAAAACCGGTACTTCGTTACTCGCATTCAGCGGATTTCGCCAAAAAAATCCAATATGACATACTTCTCTAGATAGTTCGTCTTGTGTTTATACTTAGACGGATGATCCATCTCTATTATAAATCGGGCCAATGGCAATGTTTTAAAATGTCGACAGAATTCCAACCGCAAGTGACGATTCATTTGCAAATTGGAAATTGGGATGATACCCCCTCCAGTGTGGCACATCTCTCGCTGCTATTGCGTGAAAACAAAAAAAAATTTAAAAGATTTTAATCATGATGAACGTGTATATATGAATATTAGCTCCACCACCACCCAGCCCACCCACTGAAGATCTCCCGCGGTCACTGTAATTGGTATTAATGATGTACAATACTGATTTTTGATACTCAGGACATATTTAATGAAAGCCATGTTACACGGTGCAATTTTTCTTGTCACTTGCAAAGCAATTCTGCTTGTAAGGGATGTAAATTAGTGACGAGTTTGCAAAATGTAAGTGCATGCAAGAAACGTGCATGGAGTGGATATAAACACAAGTCGTAATTGCCAAATTGACATCTCTAAAAAGTCAAATGGTATCGCAAGTTGCCTGAAAAATTCCACCGTGTAAGAGAACCTTAGTTTTTAGCCTTTTTTCTATCAAATTATCTAGATTTATAGACAGCGTATGAGGTGGATCTTTTTAATTAACTTTGCTATTTTAACTTTCTATGATATTTTTATATAATGTATTACATACACTTATTGCAATAGTTTTATCGATGTAATTCTGTCTGTTTTCACAATAGTTTTAAGAATAATTAATTTTAGACTAATTCCGTGTAAACTGTAATTGCTGCAAAAAGTTCTTCTGTTTATACGAGAGCCGGGACGGGACCTGCGGTTTTTCCATCGGGACATTTATATACCCAGGACGTTGTTTTACTTGACGGAAGAATTAAGAGTCGCGTGCCTTTATGGTGTATAATGCACGATGGAGGAATGTTGGGGAAGGGGCGTAACTACAGGGTGTCCCAAAAAAACTATTGAAATCACGCATAACAATGCAATTGTTAGAGTTTGAATGCCTAAGCACTCTGTTGGAACCCACAGGTGAATAAATGTTTGCCATAAGCATTTTTATGCATGCATATGATGCAGTAAAATTTGCTCGTACGCGAAAATGATATTTAATAACAATATTTACAATTTACAAATATGGATAACAATATTTAAATGTGCATCTCAAGCACCATGACCTTCAACATGTCCCCTTTCCCTAGCAATACAAAGCATTTAGCATTTTATAAGTTGCATTAAATCCCCACGGGCTGAAATTCGTGAACACGGCATTCAAATTTTAACAATGAGCGATTTCAATAGTTTTCGTTTTTTTTGGGACACCCTGTAGAACGATGATTGGGGGTATTATATTCCTATTATTTAGTTCTGCCCGACGGATTTATATTGTTAGCTATTGCACTGCATGACAAAAGAAATCCGTCGGAAGAACGGAATATATGAATATTCACAATATATATTTGAGAACATTTAACGGCTGCAAAAACTTGCAAATAATGTCGATAGTGCTAGAGAAGAACAGCAATATTACACAATATTCAGCCCAGATCAACCGGGCTTTGCATAATTATTTGATATTTACAATATGAAAGTAGTAGACATTTAAACAAAACATTTAATACATACAATACTATAATATATAATAATATAATATATATATATATTATATATATATATATATATATATATATATATAATACATATAATTTGCAATAAGTCCCATACTCAACTCACTGGAAATTCATTGTTTCCTCAGCTTTTACATTAGCCCTATTAGCGGGAATTATAACGAAGCTTAAAATGGTCTTCGAGGTAATCGTGGAATCTTCCTAACGATATCATGTGTTTGCATGGTTTCAAAAAGACATTTTTTAATACTTTAAAATCATGGGAGAAAATCTCGGGTAACGAGGCTTATATGTGAATAGCCCTTAAAGGTAAACTTTCTTAACGAGTGTAGATATAGGTGCAGGACATTGCTTTTGATAACATTCGGTGTATTTCTTTGACACAATATTGGTAACTTCGCTCATCATCGATAAGACATCTTCGAACTGGTGGTATTTACTGAATACTTCAACCAACGCACTGATGTACCAAGTTCCCTCGTGAGTACTTCGGAAACTTACGTGTCCTACGATGCATGGAAAATAACTTAGTTAATTTTGCATGCATGGTTTGCTGACGATTGACCTCGTGTGGCCTGAAGAGAATTTTAATGATAAGCTGTAAGATAGATAGGAATATTCATCTATAGGTATTGCAGCTATCTGAATTCGTGCTGCTAATCTATGCAGGTATTAAAGACTCACATATAGTCACACTTATATATGACAACTATTTTAATGTCTGTCCTTATGATATTCTGCTCAACGTACGAGACTAAGAGAATATCAGTTATATGTCTTAGAATATTATACTACGACTGTCGACGTTTACCAAGAAATCCAAGCCATTTTGAACATTTCAGGCCCTTGCCGAGCACGCGCAGTTGTTAAATTTCGGGAGAAAACGCCATATTGAATTACTATACGCCACCTATAGTTCTATAGCTCACTATCTTTTACTTACTCTGTCAATGTGCTTATATGCTAGCGTCATGAACCCATTATATATTAATTAAGTAACGAATTTTAATCAAACTCAAAGATGACATCGAAATGCCGTTCTATTAAAATACATTTTTATTGGTAAATGTATTAGGGATTTTTATCTTTGGTTCCTATCTCTACCATGAATGACCCAGCTAAAATAAATGTGCGCATTTCTACAACTCTGCCTACTGCCCCCGCCGCCCTATAAGCTGCTTTTGGTGCCCCTGCATACATAAATGTGTTAAATATATATTGATGTAAAATATTAAATAAATCGTTTTATTTACCTTGAGCTGTTGAATATCCAAGCAGAAAATGAGGCTCGTTCGGATCCGCAAATTTGCGAAATTGATCATCCTCATAATCAATATAATGGAGAGGTGAATCACCTTCATCGATTGCTTTGTAATTGCCATCATCGATAGCCAGTGATTGTACTTTTTTGGGTATTGTGGTAGAACGTGATCCCATGATTTCGCAACCTCTACTTGCAGTAGATGTTGCAGTATCACTCAGATCTGATCCAAATGTAGTGTCATCATTAATTGAGGGTTTCTTGCTTGCTGTAGTTTCAGGAAGAAAACGATTTGAAAGCACTCTACTACCTCTACAAGCTTGGATGAAAAAGATCTTTGGCTTTCCAGCTAAGGCTTTGCACTTGACCTCTTTAAACATGTCAATAATATCCTTTATATCAAGATGCTTAGAATCTGAACCGTATATCCTACCCATATCACCATGTGTCATGATGCAACACACAAAACATTTTGAATTTTCTTGCCTATCAATATTTTTTACCATGTCCTGGAGGATTGTACTAATCTCATGGGCCTTCCGACTGATGGCATCATATTCCACGATGAAACCAAGTTTTTCCCAAAGTTCTTTCAATCTCTTTGCATCAATGTCAGAACCTTTTCGTTCTTGTAAAGCAACCCCATTCTCAGTTGTACCAGAGAATGATTTAACGTTGATTATAAGTGCGAAACCACGAGGTCGCTCCAGAGGATAACATTGACTTGGACCTGCAATACCAACGGTTAAATGAAGAATTATTTTCTACAAGTAGTTGATTATAAGGCACACGCGGTAACGTTTTCGAGCGTTTTCAGAAGGAAATTAACATTACATTACATTAAGACTTGACATAACCTTGAAAATTGGACAGAAAATCGGTAATAAGAACGTTGGTTTTGAATTTTCTTATTGTCTGCTGTTCATGTTAAAATAGCGTAACCCAAGGCCGTGTTAATATGGCCGGCACGTCGGTTACATTGCACGGTTTTGCTCGAACTACATAGTGATTCTTACCGCTTTCAATATTCTGGCAGATTCCCAGGGAACACAACTGACACAGATGTGCAAAAAACTTTTGATGGAAGCCAGTTAAAAATGCTTGTTTTTCGGTGTCTTCTTCTATATTTCTGAGATTACTGCTGCTTATATCATAAACCTTCTGTTTTATTTCATTCAATACTTTTGCAATTGCAAACTCTATCTCTGAATCCTGCCATTCAGGATACTCAAATACATCATTGCTACATAGCATGCACTTTTGCCCTCCTATGAATAACTTCACCTCCCCATGTCGCTCAATGCCAAAACCAGATAATCGATAATAAAATACAAGACCACTATTAACACAATTCCATTTATTTTCGCATTTGCCGTTGCTGCATTCGAAGGTTGCCTGTCCTTTGTAGAGCAGTCTTGACCACCCAGTTTTTCTGTCAGGATCGTTAGCTACTTCTAAATTCCATGAATGTTCCAGTTCTGTGAACAAATTGTTGAATTTTGTTTCCCATCTTCCTGAAGCCATATTCCTTCAATTTAAAGTATTAAATAAAACTTCAATGTGCGAGGGCATTAATTCCGCTCGAATATTCACACCTACGATGCTGCAACATTTGGAGTAACTTTCTATGCAACCAGCAATCGAGACTAATTAGACCGGACATATTACTATATAATAGGTTTTAGTACTTTGGATTGTACAGATACTAGCTAGTCAACATTTCTAATGTCTGAGACCTGAATAAATAATATGTGTTTAAGCTATGAAGCTAAGCTATAATCATACGACTCTATTTAATGCATTACGCTTGTTAAAGTGGCGACTTCCTTTTCTTGAGAAACCCTAGAAATTTTACTGAATTATTCATTGTAATTACATTACATCAGTAGCTGACTAGCTGTGTTTACACTACCACTGACCTGCATGTAGTCTCAATGAAAGCTCACTAACACTGAAACTCCTTCCATAATGATATTTCTACTGAAATAAAGCTTGATTTTAGGTGTTTTACGTTAAACCTTTTCTTCGATTAAGAAAGAACAGTCCCATTGATTTAAATGTCACAAGTGAGCTTTTTAAATACAGAGACAGGGCTAGCCGTCTAATTTGCTGACATTTGCCCTGTATCAGTGCGATGATTTGCCTAGATACTCATTTCCACCTCTCTGATTCTGGTCAAAGCCCTTCCGAATCTGTGCACAAAACAAAGCTAGATAAAGTTCAAAGCTAAAAGCATAAGCTCGCGGTGTAATCCCACCGCGGCCGATAGTGACTCACTGACACTGATGTATTGTAGCGGACATGATCGAACGAATTTCCGTCGTCGTTCATGCTTAAAATCTCTCCATCTGTTTATTGAAATAAACCAGACTAATATACTAATAGTGGCATAAACAATACCAAAAAATGCATTCAGCTCCATACTTTCGCATTAAAAATTTCTTATATCGAAGCAATACTGCCAATAGCGAATTTCCTCGACTTAACAGTCAGGACAGTCAACGATGAACTATGAGTAACGATCAAAGATCCTAACAACGTTCTGGTCGATATTTATCAAGTGACGTTACAACGGCTATAGTTATATATAGTTATTATCATATATGAATTACACGGTTTCTGCATGTAATTGTAAAACTTACCAAGATACTGGTGAACAACACAATAATGAACTTTGTGTGTGCGAAGTTCATCAATGACACGTAAAGGTTTTTGTCACACGAATCTCGACGACCCTTGACCTCCAAAAAAATTTCGACGTAATTCATGGAACAATTCATGGAATTGCAATTCCGACAATGGAAACGCTGCGTTCTGCACTGGAGGGTTCAATATATACTTCCAAGTAATTTTCTGTATGCTGTACACAATCCCACTCGGTCACCTGACGAAGTTGTGACTCTTTGTCTCGATCCTCTGCCACATCCGTGGTCGGTGGTACACCACGAAAAAACTTCTGTGTATGCGCCATGCATTGTTCACTGCAGTGAACTCTGGAGTTTTGCCCAAGTTCTTGTGGGATGCAACTTTTCGCGAACTTTCTGACCGTTATTATTCTTAGTTTTTAGAATGTAATGTTTATTCATGTGCTTGAAATATGGCTTTGAACACACAAAGAAATTAACCTCGGCAAAATAACCGGTTATGTGAGAAAAGGTCGATGTGATGTGCACGCGGATTTATTCATGCATGCATTATAGTGTTCGTCAGCTTGTTCGGCATATTATATGCCCGTTTATTTATTCTTATGCATTCTGTTTTTTGGACACACTGATGTTTCCCCCTGCTCAGTATAAGGTTTTCAACAGGTTCTATTTGCGAAGTATGCCGTATACTCATGCATATTCATATTTTTCGGAATTTCCGGCAAGATTGGGAAATAAGATACATTTCTTAGCCCATTTTTGGAGCAGGCCAAATTTGGTTAACCATATTGCCATTTGTTTTATTTAACCATTGTTATGTCTATCATTTACAATCATTGTCGACTAAAATTCTCTAAAGATTCCTATAACCTAGGTTTTTCTTCTCTTTGATTTCCCTGAGTATAACCTCGTTTAATTTCGTTCCCCAAAGCTATGATGCTATTCATGCAAGATAGTGCCTTATGAGTAAAGCAGTATGTGGCAGACTTTTATATATATAATTATATGCTGCTAGGGGAAGAAACTGCAAAACTACATGACATATTTTCCCTGCGCAAAACAGCGTGCATGACAAAGCAAGTTGAACAACCAAAAATCGGGTAACGTCCGAGCGAGCTATATCCCGTTATATCAAATCTGATTACAATTAAATCACACACATGCGTTCTTCAAACTGGGACCTTAGAATAAAGAAAATAAGAAAACAATAAATTTCTTAAAGATTTTACACGAAAATTTTTCAGGAAAGTATCTCCAAGAATTTTTTTTCGAAAAATTTTATTAAAAATTAAAGGTCTGGCTGAAGCCTGCATGCAGCAAAGGCTGCAAAATAATCTTTGTGTCTACAAAATCAATGTGGGGCAGTTAACCAGCTGATATATACTGTATACACAGTTCGGTAGTTACCCTGGATAGCTATGATAAAAAACCTGTGTGCGAGGTTGATGGGAATGCAACGGGCAATCTTGGAACCAGAGCCCGCGATTCTTCTAGGGGCTCTGGTTACGAAGCTAGAGGCGGCGAGGGATCGGGGAATTAAACTTCTTTTTCGTTTTTTACTGAAGGGTGTTGGTAATGAAAATTTAGTTTACCTCATTTGAAAGAACGAAAGTTTACACTTGCAACGTTCGCTGCGATTTTATTTGGATATTCTTCTTTTGATAGATGTAAACGAGTGCATTAGTTACAGATGTTCAAATAAGAGCTTCTATACATCAGAGCATTCGTAACTAATTACTCGTCCACATCTATTAAATTTTAAAAGAAGAAAATCGCAGCTAAAATCGCAAGTGTATACGAGCCGAATCTCTTTTACCAAGTTTTTGCCGTTCCCCCTTATGCCGTTCCGACTTTTGGGCAATATTGTGCAATACGTAACTGAAGTTTCTTGACGTCGGAAAAGTTCGGGTTCCGATTAGTCAACGGAGGGATGCGTCAGTTCAGACACCGATTGCATGGTAGCGATCAAAGAAGTTTTAAATTTAGTACTATTTCCTGTATTTCAGTTTTATTTATATTAAATATAATTTCCACATCTGGAAGCTAAAATTCCGCAACGACGAAGTACTAATCTGAATCGAGACATTCAAGCTTTTCTGTAGTATCAAATTCATATCTACATAAGAAGAACACACAAACTTTCAGGTTGTTGATAATTGATTTTAATAATAATTCTACAATTTATCGCATTCGAATGATACATGTATTTAAAGCCGAAGTGAGTAGTTATAGCTACGAAGGTTCAAACTTTAGGCTATTGTTGTAAACTTTGGCAAACAATTTCGGTGCATCTCAAAACGTTCCATTATGTGCTTATTAGAAGTGTACGTACGCTTCGTGGCTTCGTTTGATTATAAAGAGCTGTTTTGTATGTGATAGCTAGTTTGCTGGGAAGTCAATTGATTTCAGTTTGATTTACAGCGAATTTAAAATGTTCTTCGTTAACCTACTTATTTGCTTCAATATTTTTATAACACGAACGAAGCAAGTTGACAGAACCGTCAGATTCAACTGTCTCATTAGGTGCTAACTATTTTTTAATACAACACAAGTACACAACAGTTGCGTCAAGGTTTCGGACTTTGGCCTTTTCAAACAACGCCATTGATTATTGAAGTTCTTTTGTTGAATTCAAGAAGGACTTTGAGACAAAGCGACTGTTCTGGAACGTGTTCCTAAGCACGGTTATACGTAAATTAAGAAATTGTTTAATTATTATGCATGTATGTAGTGATAATCCTTGCCACAACAATTAAATTGAATCGATGTCTAAATGAAATCCCGCTATCTGGTGAGCAATTGCACAAACGAAATAATGATAAATAAGAGATATATATGTTTTCAACATATATATACGGCGCGGTTTTATTTTGGTTGGCCGTTTAACCAATTATAGCCACATGAAATCCTACGTGACGCTTGACATGATTTAAATTGCCTGAATTACGTAATTCTTTCATGACTTTCACCTGGTCTGTCTCCTACCTACCTTGTATAAATGTATCCTAGCTCAGTCTGACAATAATGGATTTTCCTGTGGTGCAGTTCCAAACAATAAGTGTGTGAGTATAAAACAATTCAATGGATGTATGGTCACAATTATAGTACATCATTGTTTTCATTCAATAAGTTTTCATTCATCAACACATATTTGTCTAGAGTATTTTGCTTTGTAGAATTCTAATTAACCCATAGCATGTTTTAATGTTTTAAATTTTATTTAAATAGAATCAACTTATTATTTATACCGTATATTATGTTTGACTCGTTCAAAACTTTATTTACCTGTTTATATACCTATGTATCTAGTTTAGTTCCTGTTAGGAATTACTTGTTAAGTATCAGCTGTCCCCTCCTAAGTAGATATACAAATAATTTACAAGTTATATAATGATTAAATACAGAGTGTCACAAGCCAAAAATGCGAGACTGTATAGAAATTACTTGTTCTCAAAGTACTGTCTTAAACCATGTATGACCACAAATAAGTGAATTTAATAAAGTCCTGCTATTTTAGGACATCTGTTACAAACATTCTGTTTATTGTCAATAGAGTAATAATTTTACTTTTATGGTCAGTCATTTAAATTTCAAGAAGCTGGTGTCCATGTGGGTTGAGCAATACTAAATTATAGCACTCAAGCAATGGAATTATAACAATAGGATATGTCCTTAGTTGCGGTGTCGCCTTTGGGAGACACTCAGTGCATGGAAACTTTCAACCATGTTTCCTTCTCAGCTATACCAACATCAAGCCAAATTATAAATTTCATTGATTTACTGATCATATCATGGACAGATCTTTCAAAGGTCTGTCATAGGCAAAAAGAATGAAATCCATCTTGCACCTGCTTGGTCACATATTTAGATTAACAATAAAACCTCACATTATATTCCTCCAAGAAATACAAGTATAAAATGAGTATAATAAGTTATATATTTATACTATTATTGTTTCAGGGATGGAGTTGAATGTCTTTAAAATGTGAGGCTAATGGATGCACTAAATGATAATGATGAGGTAAGGCCCATGCAGGGATAAATTATTTCAATCTTTATGATTGCAAGTTTGCAACAGTTGCACACTGTCTTTAAAAAGTTTCATATGATTATATGCCAGAAAGAAATATTTGTTGAGTCAGTCAAATATTCAAGGTTGGCACTTTCTATGGGTATACCCTACTATGTTGCCAGGATATAAACTATATATAACTTACATTGGTGCATACCATAAGACTACACAGTAATTTGTCATTAGGCACAAAAAGTTCACTCTTTGCATGCCACCACTTCGGTCAGAAGAACTCATTGTTTATGGTTAGCATACTGCCTTGACGTATGTTGGAAATTACATTAGCCTTGGTTGGCTAAGATATATTTGTGAACTAACACCCTACGCAAAGCTAGTAATTGAGATTCATTGTCTCATTAATTACCTCTTTTGTGAGAGTAATATTTCATGCTTATTCAATATCAATACGGTATGATGTAACATTCAATATTTGCCAATCACAATGCCCAGCAGAATTTAGTATTGGATTGTCACATTCCCACCTCCCGTAGTATTTTGCACCTCTGGTCCTGTGTACCAGGGCTTTTCAAGGCTCTCCTGAGCTAATTCGTGAGGCCAATGTATTGAATAGTAAGGTAGGGATCTATGCAGAACACAGGACCTGACCATGACCATTGGTCTCAGAAATATTTTCAAGTCAGCAAAAGAAAAACCCAAAGCAGAGAAAAGCTTGTGTAAAGAGAGAGGGGAAAGAAAGGAAATAGCATTAAAAAATCGGAAAGAAAACAGTGAAAAGGATTTAAAATATGTACATATGTGATAGGAATTAAGTGATTTGACAGGACATAGTTTTTGATCTTTTTATATACCTAGGGCCAGTTTATAAAACTCTTTAACTACATTTTGCATAGTTAAATCCTAGTTAACTCAGAAATACACGATTCTGATTGGCCAATTCTAACCTTAAACTACAGTTAAAAGTTAACTAGTCTTTTATACTGGCCCCTGGTACTGTGAGTTGGAAAACAAGGATTTTGGTCAACGTGACCCTCCCTTTTAGGAAGCTTTACCCAGAGATACATGATAATGTGGACAATGGAACACTCAAGCTTCCGCCCGAAGAAACGCAATCCAGCTATGAACGTGTCTTGGAATGGAACAATCAGGCAGAACGGGACGAAATTCCTCCCGCGATGCCTTCAAAAGAAGACCTGAGGATGTGAGTCCCTTCCGGATGACTGGCCTGCCCAGTATGAATGATTCTGATCTATTTGATTTATCACATATGGCATGGCAGGCCAGAGGAAATGGAACAAGGGAAAAGCGTTTTGTCAATGTGGAGACGTAAGTGAAGTCAGATTTGATAGTAAATTTGATTGGAGATGTGTACTACTTTACTATACTGTATTTGTTATTAGCTCTGGGTCGAAATTCAACACTGCTAGAGTCTTTTGCTTTTTACGTATAATACATATTTGTCTCTTAGATTTCACGTGTTTCTCGTGGCCTTATTTGTATTATTATATCACTTGTCAATTTAAAGTTTGGTCCTCCTATCGTTTCATTGGTTCAGAGAGAGTGACGAAAATTTAAAGTGGACCACGCCACCCTCCGCAGAGGGAGATAACGCGCTTCCATGGGAAATAGCAACTTTAATCCATTTGAAATTATGTCTTTATGTTTACTTGTTGTTTAATTTTTCTTTGACAAGTGGTATTAATAAAAACTTATTACCGAGACCTCAGAAAACATGTTTTGTGGTCCCTCCGACCGAATTCGATCGGTCTCGGGTATACAAACATTATTATTTCTCACTTTATCACTAGTGACTTCGAATTAACACAATTTCGGAATGTTTTTAGATTCCTCATGATATTACCTGGATGAGCCATGTCAGGTACGACGTTTAAAAATTCTTCTTGATATCTAGGCCGGGATAACTTTCATCAATATTAATATTAATAAAATACTTAATTTTCGCGTCGCAAGAATAAGTTCCTCTACAATATAGTGGATTTGGTCTAAATTTTCATTCAGGACCGAATCAAATAAATATGATTATAGAAGCACATTTTGAAGCTATAGGCCCATAACATGACAAAGTGCGCTATACTTCAGTAATTATCAAGAGTATCATAACATAAGTTGATTTTGAATCTAAACTAAGATATTATTTATTAATATTTCTTTACCGCTGATATTTGTTTTATGAAATTATTTTTTAATTTCTCAGTACAAAAATTGAACAGTAGTAGCACATGTCACCGTAACAACGATCTGCGTGCTACAAAAAAAAACGTTATCGAGAATTTATTTACCTGATGAGGTGTGGCAAGCTTAACGCTTGTCATACGAACCCGTTCTGTAGTAGCTAAATAAAATTCGAATGAATAACCCGTGTTTCTCATCCTGTGTTTATATAATATATATTATTTATATATATATATTATATATTATTTATATATTAGTATATTATAATTATACTAAAGTTTGAGGTCCAGTGACTGTTTTCATTTTTTAGCAGCTATATTAATATTCTACAAACTTTACCGATAAGTGAACTAGAAAAGTAATAAGTAACAGAAAATACATGCTGTACAACATCTATGAGATGTTTGATATTCATTTTACGTATTTTAATGTGCAAACATGCTTTACATGTCATTGCTTAGTTCCCTTTTTTTGCTCTTGAAATGATCTTTATTCTTGCTCGCATAGATTCCATAGGTTTTTTAATGTCACACGTTCAAACCTTGCCGCATTCGTTGACCACTTGCCTCAAGTCAGCCTGGCTGGCGGGTCTGTGCCTCGCCCTCTTCCGGTTAAAACGGTTCTACAGTGCTCCATAGGTTTTAGATCTGGAATATGAGGTGGAAACCATGACAACGAGATCACCAGAATGAGTTTGCTTCTAAAAGATTTCTGGCACATAGAGATGTGCTTGTGCTTAGGGTGATTATCATGTAGTTAGACGTGCGATCATCTTTGTGCCAGATGAATTCCATGTCCTTGAGAATTGGATGATACTTTTCTTTAATTAGGATCCTATTAAATCTTTCAATATTGCCAAACCGAGCATGACCAAAGCAGCTAAAAGTTTGCTTGAGTAGGATTTAGTTTCTTCGAACCTCTCCAAGGTTAGTTGCATACCACCTTTTATTTCACTTTTTCTGCGATCTTACGAGGAAAGAATCCTTCAATACTTAATGCAACTATTTGTCCTTGTGCACCATCACTATGCCCTTTCTCCCACCCATCTTGGGCAGTGTAAAGGAATGAGAACTTTATTTTGTTATAATTTGATCATCTTAGGACCAAACAGTGTGCAATTAATATAGTTTCAGTACTGAAACTAGCACGCATGTCTTATCTCGAATACGCTGCCAGGATTTAATACTGGAATGCTACAACGACTGGACTCAAACTTTTGCCTCCTACTGTATATATATATATATTATATTATATCTTATATATATATATATATATATATTATATATTATATTATATATTATATATATATATTATATATACATCACGGGGATACTCATCAACGGGACTGACTTCGTTGTTTCGCTAGATCGGACCGAACCGTTTATCTGGTCGACCTGGTATACCCAGGTAATATAGCTTCCGCCGTAGCTTAGTATAGGTAAAAGACCCTGGATCTAAGATGGTTATGTATCTTATATGAAATCAATCGGCTACTTAGAAGGATTTGAAAAGTTTCTGAAAGACACACAACCCCTCATGCGTCACATTTCGTTTTTCTATTCTTGCTTTATTCTAACCCTTATTTTTTGTTTAGTTATCTCGGATGACACGGAAGGAGCTGTATTTGCCAATTACTTAAAATGTCGGACGTGCTATGATATTGTGCAAAAAGTGCAAAGATTGTTTTTTGACACAAGATTATTGTAAGTTTATAACTTTGCTCCCTGTTCAAAATAATTTTTCCACTTTTCCAGTCAAAAAGTGCTAAAATGTGAATAGATTATCGCTACGGCGAAGGAATTTGCAAGATTTAACCTATATAGTAGACATTGTGAACAGTTTCTAGTCGAATTTAACCAGAGAGCTTTGGGTTTGAGAGGTCGGAGAAGATAGAATAGATAGTAAATTAAATGCTGTCGCTCAATCGCAGTAAAATGTACTGTATTTTTTGTTGTAAGTATTTATTCGGTTATTTTTCACTTTTTAGGTAAAAAGGCATTCTATGCGCTAGTTGCTAACGGTAATGTATATATAAGTTGAACTATTCCAGAAATGCTGTATAATAGCTGGCTAGCGAAGTATTTGCAGATTTTCTTTCGAAATGAGAACAGTCGAGCGGACAGTCAAGTCATTCTGTAAAATTCTAATCAAATATGCCAATATTTTGCAGGACTGTTTCTCTGCCAGTGGAAATTCACCCTTAAAGTGCATATCAACCAGTTTTTTTTTATTTCATAAATAAGAAGTACAGTTTACTAGTGTTCATATTTTTATGAACGAGTTCGATTTGCGTTGTTTTTGATATATTTTGAAAGGCAAACTGCATCGAAAATAGCGATTTCGACACAAATCGAGATCTTGACAATATACAAATAGGTCGCGCGTAAGAATGGGCCGAGTACGTCAAGAATAGTGTGCTGCCATACTGGTGCGTGGCAGCAACAAGGGCTGAATGAAGATACGAGATGCATATTATATTATTTTCTGCTGTTGTTTTTGTTGTTGGCAATGTTGCCGCTGCTGTTGATGTGGTAAATACAACACGGTCACTTGATTGCATGACATCATACATGATAATGTGGCAAGAATGTGTAGACAGTACATACTGTACCTCAGGCCTGATTCTGTTTCCTATACTACTTCACCCCATCAGGGCTCTGTGGAGAAATTACTTATGTAGCCACGTTCACCAAAGCTTAGGTTTTTTATATTCTTTTTCCAGGTGTGAGGTCAGCCCCATTATGGGACAATACTAAGCAAGACTATGTGGGTAGGTCTGGTATTTCTCGCAATATTCGCTTAGGAATTTCTTCATGCAATTTCTAATTTATTTCTTCCGCATTTAGGAATGTTAACAATCTCAGATTTCATCAATATATTGGTTTCATATTATAAATCACCGTTGGTAAGTAAGATATACTACAAACACTGCTAGAATAGAGAGCCGCCACATGCATATATTTTCATATTTGCGCCAGCCTTAGCTCGAAATACTGACGTTTCTACTTTACCCAGCACTTTAATAAATTACCTACTATGTATGATATTAATTGATAAGATAAGGGTAATTCCTACCCCAAATTTCAGAATTTGGAATTCCGTCAATTTTTGCAGTACTAATAGATTTGGCCGGGACGGAAAGTATATAAAATTTCGATTTTAAATCAACCCCCTAATAAGTTGATCTATCTAGAATTTACTGTGATAGAATGAAGCACACACCCCTCCCTCCAACCTGGACGCTACGCCCCTACTGGTCAATCATTATTTTAGCAACTAAATTGGGACAAGCATTTCAATAAAAAGTTTGATTTTATTTTTTAAGGTACAAATGGAAGAAGTAGAAGAACACAGAATTGAAACTTGGAGAGGTGATTTCAAGTTATAGCACTAATTTACATCCATTAAATCAACTGATCTGTCGGTCAAGTACAGTGGTCGTCACATATCTATATTTTCATCCTGACCTATCACGATGTATATTTTCAATTACCAGATTTGTCAAAGAACAAATTGCCTTCTACTTTGATCCAAATTTCACCTTACCAAAGGTATTCATGAGATATTTTTTAAGGAAAAATGTATTTAATTTTTCCTAAGTTTCCGTTGTGGCATAATGGCATACATGTATACAGTACGATTAGTTTAGTCCAGTAATACAAAATATGACTTACATGCACAGAAGATTTAAAGCTTCCGCACAGTAAAAACGAATCATGCATGAATTATGAAATTTTAACTGGAAAAATTCACTGGTTCACATGCTCTCAATTTCCTTTTAAATACGTATTCTGTAATCTTTAATAACCACCTGTGAAATAGGCGTTTTGAGACTTAGGTATGTACACGAGGTCATTAGACATTTCATAAACATCAATTTTTTCGGTGTCTGCAAACGAGACTAGTCAAATTTTTTCCTATGAAAATTTTAAATTGTTCTAATTTTAAATACTGTACAGAACTTTAAATAGCTATAATTATGCATACATATGTTTCTAGTTTATACGAAGCCTGCGAATATCTAATAAAGCACAAGATTCATCGCCTACCAGTAATAGACCCTTCATCTTCAAACTTCTTGTTTGTGATAACACACAAAAGAATCCTGCATTATCTACATGAACATGTGAGTACATTCTACAATCGTCCAATTTGATCTCTTTCAAACAAGAAAAACACACCTGCTCAAGTTGCTGCAGTGGCTTAACCAGGTCAAAATAGGCGAAGGAAGGGGGTAGCTCTGGAAATAGACTTTTGGGTCATACACCTCTATGACCTATACCCAGTTTATTAAAGAACCTGGACTGATAATAATGTGGCCGATATATCTCGGGATCTGTGTTTTGCAAAAAATTAAAAACGTCTTAACAATAACATAAGTTTTTTCTGTGTTATTGCATGGTTCTAAAATTTTAACGCGCATTCTTTACAATTTTACAAGAATTTATTTAACTAGCTAATTTGTGTTTTTTGCTGGAGGCTTAACTATCCTAGCTGTGTTGTTTTGTGTGTATACGTATTTATTATTTAACGTAAATTTAATGGCAAACTGTCTTTATTTTCTCTCGGGCGAATCCAACACAAATGGCCCTACAACCACAATATATATCTTCCTCCCGCCTTGACTAATCAACGTCGAAATTGACAAATTTTTAAGTTGAGAGAGAAAAAAGAGATTGCGTCACATTCTGCATAATGAAGAAGAAATGTTGATGTTGTAAGATCGTTATGTGGGATTCGCTGAATAAAAAGAGGTTAAAACCAGCTAGGCTATAACTACGCAACCCCGAAGCTGATTTGTCTAAAAATTGCGTCGTGTTTTGGATGGCTTATATAAGCAAGTTCTGCCCCTCCTGCAAACTTAAAAATGCATTTTATACATTGGAAATCGGACCAAAATTTATACCTTGCGGCTGAATCTCGTGATTTTTGCACCAGTCCTATCCCTAGTCCCTCCGAGAGTATCACACGCAAGAGCGTAACACTATGAAATGCTTGATTGTTTGTAGTTCTCCAAATTGGTCATGCCGGATTTTATGTACAAGACGTTAGGAGAACTTAGTATTGGAACATTGTGTAAGATCGCTACGGTATGTGTTAATAATTCTAATTAAAAAAATATTTCATACAAACTTTTGGGAAGCGGGCTACGAAAATTTTTACGGTGACAAGGAGTTTCATGTTAGTTTTTTTTTACGTTTTTTAGATCAATCCAGAAACCCCGCTCATTACAGCACTGAATATGTTTGCTGAATATAAAGTATCTGCCTTGCCCATTGTGGACAAAGATGGTAAGGCTGGATTTCCACTTGCAAAGAAATGGCTCGCTAGCAAAATATTTGCATTTTTTTTAGTATTGTATTTTCGATGCCCATCATGCTCATTAAACATAAATCAGGTCCAGAGAATTTCAACTCTAGGTAGCGTGATTTGAGGTTAGATTTGGCATCAGGTAACCGAAGGCATGCTCATTTCAAAGTAGGGTACAATAAACCCATTTGATGATTACGTCACAACATTATCGTTTTAAATTTAGAACCACCTTAACTGAGATGGATTTCAAGTTTTACCCTCACGAGCCAGGTGCAAAGATGCAAAACATCTTTCTTCAACACATGCATGAAAAAGCAGGCCACAGCCTCGTTCTTGTGTTATGGCTTATTTTCACACTTGTTTAACAAAATGAAATTCATGCACTTTTTCATGCATGTGTTGAAGGATGTTTTGCATCTTTGCACATACCTTGTAAGAGTAAAACTTGAAATCCATCTCAATTAAGCTGGTTCTAAATTTAAAACGATAATGTTGTGACGTAATCATCGAAAGGGTCCATTATTATAAAACACCTGGGGCCGGTTGTATGAAAGCCGGATAGCCCTATCCACCGGATAGTGGATTTTTCAATCGCTCTAAAATCGCCCGTTGTTGGCTGAAACTTTGATTAAACCTTAGTATTCCTAAATTGAAATCCTCTTCAATTGAAAGCCTATCCGGCTTTCATACAACTGGCCCCACGCCAATAGATTATATTAAAGATTTGTTAGAGGATCAATTTTAGTGTATAGGACTGCCCTTTTCTTAAAAAAAATAATGTTTATTTTTGTTCTGTGAATCAAGTATACCATATAACATGGTAAGGTAGTTCTATATGGAATTCACTGTTAAGAGTCTCACTGTTAAAAGCCATGCAGGTATTTTATAATTGCTCCGAACATTCATAGATTGTATGGCATGCGTGCATGTGTTTTATCAGGTTTTTATACTTTTTTATTAGGCGTCGTCGTGGATATATACGCACGATTTGATGTTATAGTAAGTGGGGTTTTCGTTCCTATAATTATGTAAAACATAGTTATGTGATATTGAGACTCATAATAATATCTAAGGAAGTAATCGTTTTCTTAATTTATATGCAGAATTTGGCTGCGGAGAAAAGTTACAACAACTTGGACGTCCCAGTTATTGAAGCGTTAAAACACAGGGCTGAGGTTGGTATATTTGCTCCTTTTAGAATGAATCTTTTGCTGGAATTGGCCGGAATATTTATACTCCTTATTTGCTACTTTTGTAAACCATCTACAGGGTTTATCAAAAAAGTAATCACGGAAATTTTTTCAAAATCCATATTATGGAAATGACATGGATGGCTAGTTGGAAATAGTATGGAAGTCAGGGCCGTAGCTAGAAGTTTAATTAGGGGGGTGCGTTGTACGCTGTTGTTTCTACGGTATGTAAAAAGCATGAATAAATAACAAATTAGGCGATCTAGCTACGTTCCTGATGGAAGTTTATAATATTCATACTATTAATTGCCATTTCCACACTATGGATATAGTGTGGAAACAGTATAGCATGTATACTTCCATTGTATGACTTCCTATTAAAAAGAGATTATGTTGAAAATTGAAACAAAATTCGGCTTCCTTGTGTGAACACATAGGACCGATTGGAACCGGGTGAACGCTCGAATATTCTAGAACGGTTCGCATAGTCCCGTGTGAACGTATAGCCTTATACACGTATTGCCTTATACACACACCAACCATAGAACCGGGTGAACACCTGAGTATTTTAGCACGGTTCGTATAGTCCCGTGTGAACGTATTAATAGCCTTATACACGCTGCAGCAGCATTATACATGTATGCTTCCCTGTAGTTACACTTCCAACCACTTATTGTACAGTATATCGATATTAAAGTCGAGAGGATTATAACGGTCCCAACAATTAATTTACTTCAAAACATCCAGCTTCGGTCAAATGAACTAACATTAATGCTTGAACTTTCACTATTCTTGGATTTCTATTTTATCGTCTCATTTTAAAAACCCTTCCTTGTTTTGTTTTGTCTTGGGTTTCGTAACTCGTGTGCATGTGGACTGTTTTGAAATAACATTTGCTAAGAGCTGTAGTACTAACTTTTTTTCTACCTTAATTCAAATATCAAGGGATTCGAAGGTGTTCACCGATGTCGACTGAACGAGCCGTTACACGTCGTGGTCGAAAGAATTGTCAAAGCAGGCGTAAGTTACAACCATAAAAATCTATGGTTACAACATAGGGTTACAAGAATAAATTATTAGTCTTTTAAACGTTGAGAACATGCATCGAGAGGCTGCTAGTGAGACATATGCTCTGCCTCTATAGTTTATTACTCATGGAATTTCTATTTTCTACTAATTAAAATTTTGAGTGAGGTATTCGGGTTAACTGAGTGGCCTAGCGTATTCGAAAGTGAATTTACTGAAGAAAAAAAAGTAATGCAGCGAATAATGTGTTTAATTGAAGGCATTGAATACAATTTGTTAGTCGGCATATTTTCATGTCGTGTGGATTGTATCTATTTGGTTTTCAATGAAATTTTTATTCAGTTCTGATTTGAATTTTAGGTTCATCGTCTTGTCGTGGTCGACAAAGAAGATCAGGTTGTTGGTGTCATGTCATTGTCTGACCTTCTTCAAGTGCTGGTCTTACATCCTCCAGGTACATACATATATGGGCAGAGATACTGTCGTCTGGTCATAACATTACATAGTATAATTGTTATCAAATTAATTTCTCAATGCCTTGTTTCATGAATATTCTTGGGCACTTTAGTCTTGAAGAATTAGAAGAATAAGTTTTTCAATGAGCGATTCTGGATTACTATTTTGTAGCGACAGCTCTTTGAGCCTAATTACATTTTAAAAATTACATTCAACAGAATTTTGAAGAGTGATACATTTCGTCTTTGTATGCTTTTCATGTTGGTCCAAATTTGGGAAATTCTCCCTATTGTTCAGATTCATATTGTCAGCCCTTGTCTTGAACAGAATTTACTCTTGTAGCTAAAAACTGTAGTTCAGTGAAAATCTGCCGATAAATTGAGCCTGCTGTATTAAGAGACAATTTGACGCGCTTTGGCCAGGCTGATGGCTGTTAACCAACCATTGCTTGTCTCCAGAGTCGTGGCAAGCTCAAATTTACTTGCAATACTCGTCCTTAATGTTTTGACCTCCATCATAGGTGTAATCAGTGCGACAAGTGAGGATTTCATGGTCAAGTGATGCTATCTCAAAAGAGGCAATTGAAGATTGAATATATCAACAAGGTGGCACGATTGGAATAAATTAAGGGAAAATACATTTTCGCTCTCAACTCTTTGAGGAGAGTACAAAAGAAAAAGGCTTGTCATGTGACAAGCGTCTTAGATAGTTAGTTCAACTTTAGCTAGTTTTGTTAATTAGGGCCAACTTGAGCCCAACAATGAGCCTTGGGTCACTCTTATATATATAAGGGAATAGTGGACATTTTGCACTTACCAGCACAAATCTAATTGTCGGTTTACGGAAGCTGTTTCCGCCGCGATTTTCTCTTTTTGACTGATGCAAGAGAGTGAAAATGTTAAGAACGTATACAGGTAGATAGAGGAAGGAGGAGGTAGCATTGACTGTTTTATTATTCAGTTCGCGTTCTTGGAAATTTATGCACAATTTATCATCCTCACGTGTTCGGTCATTTAACCTATTCTTCTCTCGCTACGAACAAGTGAAATCGCACCAGAAAACGCAGCAAAATTGCAACTGTAAACAGGCTCAAAGACCCATTCGGGATCTTAATTTAGAATATTTTGACAACGTTTTGCGAAATCGACTGTATATAATCGTATATATACAGCTAAGCGTAAGTGCAAACAACTTAATGCCACTTGCATGGTGATGTCAGTAGTTAGTAAATCAAGTATTTTTGCGGATTATAATAATTAATTAAAACTGGCTATGCTTTGCTTGCCTAGGCTAGAGTCTTAAAAAACCCAGCTCTATTTAAGCATAGCTTAGATCGCAGCCCCACATCAGGAGGATCTGTACAGAATTTCGCAGACTGTAAACAGTCAGAGACATAGTTACATTTGATAAAATTTTAGTGAAGAACCTCATTATTTTTATTAATTCAGTGTGCACGCAAAAGATGTATTTACTTTTTATTTGTTAATTGTGTGAAATATATATATGTATATGAAAAATAGTATGTAGCATTTTTTAAAATCTTCTATGGTGCATGCTCTTTTATCAAAAGTGTCACTATATTATTCCAGAAAATGGTTGATTTTTTGCGATGAAGCCAAGAATTTCATCCTTTTGGCCACTGATTTGATTTCTTAATCGACCTCGGATTATTACGAAAGAATTGTATTTTTTTTTTAAATGACGGCAGTTAGTTTTGTCGAAGTGACAGACAAAGAAAAAGGTCGTCTCATGTCCGTTTTAGACTTACGAACCTAATGTTGATGAGCTAAACTCTGCATTAGATTCGGCAGTTGAAAAGTTCGACGTCTGAAAGGGCCTCAAAGAAATTCAATACGTAAGTCCAGGATCTAGTTTATACGTCGCATCTTGGTGGCGTCAAATGCAATCCAAACAATAGGTAATGAGATGATAATTAAATAAATAAGGTATATTATCTATTGTTTGATTTGCAATCGACGCGACTAAAATTATTTTACATTTAAAATTTTCTGATCTTTCAGATCGCCTTTCTCAAATAACCATCTCCGTTTTCATTCATCACCTCATTGAGAAACATTGAGACTCGAGGGAAAACAAAACTCACTATTTCCCCAGGTGTAGCGAAAATTAAGTGTTTTGTTATATGGAACAGAAACACATGTTACACGACAATTTCATTTCAAAAAACTTTGTTATGACAATATGCGGGCAACAATTTTTCACTTATTTCCCTAGCGGGAAACATTGCATTTATTTAAAGTCATGTGACTACGAATGAACCAATCATATTTCAAATACACAGCACCAATGGTTAAATAAACTTTACAGTAATTATTAAACAAGTGGTCGACTTGTCCCATGCACGCGAGTAATATAAATTAGGGCCAACCAACACAAAAACCGCAGAAATTATTTTCTGGAATTCGTTGGCATGCAAAATCACTGAAAACGACCTCCGTCGTTCAGTCGTCGTACATGTGTTCACTCTGACAATTGTCGCCTACACATGTTCCTAGCCTGGAGGGATAATTTGAGATATTCTGTCATTCGTGTCGCAAAATTGAGCACGAATAACAAAATATCTCGATATAGTTCCCGCAGACTTGGAAGATAGTTGACAATTGTCACCAGTAAAATGTGTGCGAGCAAAGTTCACCAGTGTGCGTCAGAGCTAGCAAACCAAAGGTCGCAAGTTCGATTCCTAACGTGGTCAAGGTAATTTTTCAACAATTCAGCTTGCCAGGTTAGTAACTCAGAGTAGCACCATCACAATATTAAATTGATTTCATACACTTGAATCATATGACCTCTAACTATGATGTTTCGTATAACAAGCAGACTCGACAAGCGTACATATATCTGACTGTATCTCGATGTATCCAAGAGCAATATTTAGGGACTACGTGTCGAGGAACACCCATCTTTGTGATAAATCCGACTCATTACAAATTGCCATAACTGCATTGTTTGTTGGAGATTGCGACAGACATGTCCCACTTGCCGGATGATAAAGAGCTCTCGTTTCCTTAGGAGTTGAAAAAACATAAAATGATAACTGAACTGTTACGCGGTGAAATAACAAACGCATTTGTCGAAGAGAAGTGACCCCTTAGGATAGTTTGTAAAAAACTCAAAACTCCATAGATTCGTCTCCAGTCATCTACTATACCAGTATTCCAGTAACCAGTTATTAGAGCCCCTTTCACTACACTCAATTTGTCGGCACGGCACGGCTGGCGGGTACCCGTACCAATTCCATCCGTGCTGGGCCTTTGTATTGGTAGCCTGAACACTAATATAATTGCGTACGGGCAGCAAATTTAGTCGTGCCGTGCCATTTGCCAATAAATTGAGTGCAGGGGCTTGAATTTCAATTTTGTTTTATTCCAGGGGTATCTCAACAATGCACGTAAATTTTGTCGGCAACAAATTTGCATTACATCATTCTATATATAGTCACCACTACCTTGGTGTATATCCACTGTTGAGTGCCACCGTCTTCGTGACATTTACTAAGCTTCGGGAAGTTAAATTTTCTCACATCAAGACAGTATTTCAGGCGCAATTTTAATTGCTGGGCATCGTCGAAAGTCCATGAGTTCTACAGATAAACAAAAAATCTGTATTATGCGTTAATGTATATAAGCCTAAATCCTAATCCTAAGTCTTATAGTCTTAAATTAGGTTCGTCGTTGATTAGGTTTAGCCCTAAACCTCAATATAATCCCTAATCCTAACCAAATCTCAAGGATTAAAATCGTGTTTTAGGATTTGTGGGTTTTTAGATTCGTGGTTGGTTAGGTTTAGCCCTAATCCTCAATCTAACTCTAATCCTAACCAAATCTCAAGGATTAAAATCGTGCTTTTAAGATTTACTACAACTGGAACTAAAACTTTTTTCGGAGCTATAAATTATCCCCATTCAAAAATCCTGAGAATTCTCCAGTAGCATGTAAACTAGACATATATAAAATCAAATACCTTGATACGAACAGCACGACAAGGGCGAAGAATGAGATCGGCGTCGTTTCCCACTGACTCCGTAGACGTATCCAAACAACTTCCAAGAAAGTTGGCGAGCTTTGGTAAAAACGAGAGTGTTAAAGGGGTTAGCAAATTACGACACCGCTAAATTCCCACATGAAATGAATTCGTAAATTACGGGTGCTTTAAAATCTTATGATTACCACAACAATTAAATCGCATCTATTTTTAAAATGGTGCCATTATAATATGTGAAACCCTGCACATTAGATTACAAAAGAACATACAACCCTGTTTTTAATGGTAATGTTTTCATGCACAATCGAATCGGTTCGAAATGTTCCATACATCAGCCCCTTATAGTTAGCACGATGCATCTTATATCCCACAAAAATCACCTACCCTGCCATTTGCGACGACCACGGTTTTCTTTGCGATGGGTCGACGCCATATCAGACTGCTTCCTTTGCGTTCAGAAGGTACATCTAACTCAGTGTAGACATTGTACAAGTACCATTTGAATGAGCGGCATTGGAGCGCCCGTCGTAGGTCCTGCCTCGCACTTACATCGCCAAAATCGTTGCCTTTTAAATGGCGTCTCGTTTCATAAAAATGTTTCTTGTATTCGTCCATCCATACCTCGGCAACACGCATTGAGTTGAATGACATCGTGTCTCCTTTGCCGTTCGGCCCATACGGTCGGCGCTGTCGGAACACGTGACCAATGCGTGAACACGGGATGATTTTCAGTTGACCACCACACATCCAGATCTGTGAACAAATGCAGATTTTCGGTAAGTCTGCGTGGCTTGCACTCAGAGAAATTACGGACTTCAGGCGCATACGCTTGTCATGTTACCGTCCTACATGCGATCCCTATTATCCTTAAGAGCGGAACAGAGTTGCCTTCGTGTTGAAGCCAAGTAGTTCTGGCTAAATTGTGATATAAGCAACACTATAGGTTAAAACCATATGTTAAAACATAGGCAGCCCAGAAATGTTCTCGTGGCGTTTGCACGTGTACGTGAGTCTACTCGGTCTATTATTAGGATAAGGTTGGCAAGTATTTTTACTAAAATATACTACAACGTTTACTACGGCCCGAATATCTTGCAAATTACAAATGAAAATAATATTTAAAATAACATCGGTTTAAACGCCGGTAATTTGACTACATTCTCCCGAATGTTTGACTACATTCGTGCGAGCGCCACAAGAACGAACACATTTCTGGGCTGGCTATGGTTAAAACAGCATCTTTGATCAGTTTACATTGAAACTCGTGCATGTAAACAAGGCTAGCAGCTTACAATACTAATTTTTTATAGGAAATTTGCAAACCTCACACGACTATATCTCCCCACTTTCACCTAATCTAAGCTGTTACTTTCAAAACTGTGGTACTGGCTGGACTTCCCAGACGTAGAAACAGTATTTTGGCTCAATGTTGTTGTGAAAACGGCTGACCGTCTTGCCTTAGGCAAAATCAAAAATCGAGTGGTTAGTTTGTCAATCTTACTCACACGAAACGAAATTTCAAGATTTTCTCCGCCCCAAATTTCCATGCCATCATCATATCCTCCAAGGGTTCTGAAATATTTTCTATCAATTGCAAACAGCCCGCCTGCCATGGTCGGTGATCTGATAATGATTGCGAATTTTATATATCGATGACGATATATAGCAAGTGATATACGAAAATATACAAAAATTTCTTTATAAACTTTATAGGAATGTACTCTACCTGATAGGTTTTGTGAAATCCTCTTCCGAAACGAACGTTGATTGGTCAACTGGTTCCCACTGAAAATGCAGCCCCCAGTTGAAGCCACCTTTGACCAAAGGTGAAGCGGCATATTGGAACGTGTCGGGGTTAACGATGTCGATTATCGGACAAACAACAGTGTCCCGTTTTCTCAATATTTCCTCCAGCAACGGGGGCAACCAGTCGACATTCACTTCGCAATGGCTGTCCAGAAACACGAGGACATCGCCTTTTGCAACAGAAGCCCCGAGAGAACGGCCTCGAATGAGACCTTCCCTTTTAACAGCGCGAAGGATCGAGATTTTACTGTAGTTCTTCGTGTAATCTTTCAATCTCCCTCTTAAGTGTTCTGAACGGGAATACGTTATATTATTGAATACACTCAATAGATTGGAATAATTATTAAAGAGGAGGTATATATAACCAGTGCTTAACTGTGCTTTCCCCGGGAAAATTTACAAACGCTAAAGTCATGCAACTCTCCCACTGAAAAGTTAAATTTTGTAGTCAATTATATTTGGAAATTCTTTCAAACAAAAATGTCCATATATTGATATTGAAAGTAAAGATATTGACCAGACCTCATTTGTCAAAGTCACCTCAACAAGACGCCTGCTCAGGCGTTCACTCGGGCTACAGTTATCTGGCTTGAGCTTGTCACGCCTAATTTTTGGTGTTATGGCATATTCGTGACACCCGCGGGAGAAACGCTCCTAGCCCCCTAGAACGATTTCGATTTTCGATTCTCTACCCACGGTAGCCCGAGTAATAAGGCTTACAGCTAAGTTCTATACAGTCTGACAATCTGACGGATGTCTGATCTAACTGTGATAAAATATTTCAAACACCAGTTATATATAGTGATTGTGCAAATGACTCATGTCAGTCATCTGAAGTAATATAATTGTGATGGTGCTACTCTGCATATTTACAAACATAGCAGTTCGCTAAAAAAATATCTTGAGGATCTTGAGGATCACAGGAATCAAATTTAACAGTTGAAGAAGACTAAATTGTCACCAATACAGGAAGCTATTTTCATTAATTATTACATAGCTAAAACTTGAAGCCCTATTTCTAGAAGTCCCTTCTTATAGAAGTCTAGTAAACCCTATAACATAAACTCTAGGAATCAGTAATCTGGTTTCCTACAGTAAACCCTACTCATCCAACAATTAGTAAACTCTCGCCCTGGTAACCTAGTAAATCTATAGCAGTAAACCTGGACTCATTCATAGACACAATGATTGTGATATGCACATCCATAACAGAAACAAAATCAGATAAAACTTGAATATGCCTGCATGAATTCCCAAACTAAATATATTTTATTCTAAAATATTTACTGCACTGCTTAGCTAATACATTCTTTGCAAAAGGTTTTTCCATGCATGTACCTTCTGTGCTGAAGTCATCCATCAAGATTATTTCCTGTAACAAATGATCTGGTGTTCTTTCCAAAACACTATGTATCGTACGTAACAATGTAGACCAAGCTTCATTATGAAAGCAAATTATAACGCTTGCAGTTGGAAGATTATCAGAATAAGTCAATTTCTTGCAACTGAAAAGAAAAAGTACTTGCAAGTTGAATTTACTCCAATATTTTATGTCTCTGCAAAATCGTAATATGAACAAGATTTGATATTGCAACTTCTTCTGGTTGGCTAATATGCAGTGTTATTCCTTAACATTCATACATGCCCAACAGCTAGGGCCATTGGATGCAAATTATGATTGGAAGGAGGGGCTGAAAATGCAAATATAATTAAGTGACTTTGTTTCAAGGGATGTGGGGAAGCTAGGGAGGGGGCATGGTGTAGGTCATAACAACAGCTATGTTTCTATATGTTTCACATTGGAAATCGACCTCTTTCACATGTGCAATGCAATTTGTGCTATTCATTATACAATAAAAAGATAGTCATATTTCTTTAACAGTAGCATATAATTAATTTTGTTATGCAGAAGGGCAGGTAGCTAAAAATAAAGACATATATTCTCTGATAGACAAAATATATATAGAAATATATACATTTTTTGTGGTTGAGGGATGAGGAAATAGTGTTTAAATTTTAAAAAAATGTTGCAAAAATTATTACAAGGGCTGCAGTTTGACCAGCCCTCCAAACCCCAGGTTTTTTTGCAGCTGCAAACCTTTGGAAAATGTGAACAAAATTAAAGAAATATTATTATTATATTAGTGAGCCATAGACAGAGAATACAATACTTGAATCATGGTAAATGCTCCAAATTATACATGCAGTAGGGAAATATTACAGGAACCAATTAATATTACAGGAACCAATCAAATATTATATTAAAATAATACGAAATATGGTACACCTACAGCAAGGCTTGATTACTTATGAAAAAAGGTTAGAGAAATAGTGCTCGCATAACTTCATGAAGGCTGAGACTTGTGCATACGAAAAAATTGGTAAGAGTGAATTTGGAAATCATGAAACAAAATTCCTTCACTAAAAATACAATCACGCAATAATTATATAACTTTCAGACCTGTGACACGTACAATTGGACACTTAACTTATTATTTGTTGCCTAAAAAGACCTGGGATCTGAAGCATGACATCTAAATTTCAATTTTGAGTATGTACCTTTCATGCCTTGTATCTGGAATTGCTCTGTGACTACCAATCCGTCTGCTTATAAGATCATTAAACGCATGCTTGCTGTACCCCTCATCTCTCATGTTTTGGTCTGCCGTGTCTTTTATCATTCCAATCATAAGTCCGGCGTTTGGATCCCTAATTTGGTGTTTTTCAAGTCCATGTTCTCCTTCGTCTGAGCAAAGCGTTTCATCAGAACAACCTATTAACCATCTCGAGTTTGGAGGTCCAACAATGAGACAAACCGTAAACACGATAATGCCAATTAATAGAATTATAATGCGCGTACGGAATTTCACTCGCATGCCACGTTGTCCTCCTGTATACAAAAAATGTATACAAAATTACAGAGAGAAAATGTATTATACCCTTTTCTTTGGAGAAGGGCCTTCATTTCAACATACTTGTTGTATATTGTATTTGTTTATCTGTAATTCAAAAGGCAATGGCGGCAGCTTTTATAAAGCAATATAATATGTAAATGTCAGATAAATTTGTATACAATATAAAAAAAATACCAAAGTCTGGTCATCGCAGTATAATGGGCATCCGAAATCTGGAACCCCACTCCCGTCTTCTCGCCATTTGCATTTTTTTGCATTTTTACGATTCGGAGAAGTTCGGAACTGTTTCGTTCTAATCTCGAGAAAGCTCGGCAAATAATCGCTCGTCGCCGTTAGGCAATATATGCCCCCAGCAAAGCGTCTTCTCTCTCGTTCGCAACCGCCATGTTGGCTCACACGTTTCGGAGAGTCGTGAAAGCGGCGTCAAATAAAGCAATTTATCCACAGTATAGTCGACATTTGCAGAAGAGAATAGTACCAGGATGCTTCAATCTCGGTAAGTGTTTTCTATGCAGCGTTTCCAGCATTTGCTTACCTGTAAAATTTCAATGTTAAAATGGCCGAAATATATAGAAATTTCTCAATTCCCAGTTCCACATGTTGCATTCACTGTACCGGTATAATGTTTTAGCCTGGTGCTTTATAGGGACGTGAGATTATGAGAAAACAGATTTAACCTGGTATTCCAGCAGTACGTTTTAATGGCTTGTAAGCCATCAATATAGCGAAATTTTATTATATATAATCTGAAGAATAAATGAAATTCCTACTTCGTATTTAAATTTGTGATATGCACAGATTTTACTTTTAAAATAGTAACTTATAATTTTTTTTTTAAAAGGAGTGAAGGTATGCTTTTTGTAGTGTCTTCATGCGTATTTCAGTTACATTTATTCTTTTAAAATAATCTTTGCAGAATTGCAAATTGATGAAATTGTACTTTTTTTACACTTGTACAAAGTTCAGCTTAATTGTTCAAGGAGTGATCTTGTTAAACCACATGCATCTGTTGTTAATGACATCAGCATTGTTAGGGTTGGTATGATAAAGGAACACATGACAAGTATTTAGTAGTCAACAATATTATGTCCCAGTCCTCTAGTGACCAATTTTGGTGGTTCCTAGCAATATATAATAGGACCAGATTGCCAATACACATGGTAGTAATGGTGAAACCTGTAAGATAAATCTAAGATAGCATAAGAACCAGGCAAAAAAACATCGTATGACTTTCATTGTTTTTGCCAATTTACTATTGTCCTTTTGCTTTACATTTTTGATTTACAGTTAATTTCAGAAAACGTTTTACACTCCAGTTGCAAACTATGTGTGGAAGCTGTCAAGTGGGTGGGAAAGTTGTCACTTCCGTTTTGTAATTCTCAACAAAGTTCCAAAGTTCAATTTGAACTTCGGAAATTTGAATCACTTTAAAATGGCCACTATAAAATATCAGAGCACAGCAATTTCATGCAAAAAAAAAAAATTTGTTTTCAGTTCTTGCCGTCCGTACTTAATTTCCCCCAGTTTTCGGCTCCATTCAATTGTTGTCAATAGATGTAATGACAGTATTATAAACAGTGGCTTTTGTTAGCACCAATCTTCTGGCAATTTCTGACATAGATAAACCTGAGTTGTATAATTGAATAATAATATTTCTTTGCATTGAAATTGCTTTGCCTGGTATTTTATAGTGGCGATTTTATAGCGATTCAAATTGCCTGCAAAGTTCGATTTCAAATTCAGAAGTTTGATATGAAATTCCGAACTTAGACAGCCCCACCTGACTGTAATAATTACAAATTTCTACCAGAACAGAGTAGTCTAATTTGATCCCTAGGAATAGGTCTTAACAAAAAGTTTATGTGCTTGGTTCTGGTCTGGTCAATTCTCATCAAGTCGCATGTGACTGCTGTGCATGTTCGACTAGGCAATGCAGTTTATAGTTGTATTTATCTGACTTTCAGAGAAAAGATTTGTTTCAACAAACAAGAATGATGCTGCAAAAGAAGCTGCAAAAGCTGCAGCTGTTAATAAAGTCACCCCTGGTAGAATCACAGCAGTAATTGGTGCTGTTGTTGATGTGCAGTTTGATGATGAGCTTCCACCAATCCTGAATGCCTTAGAGGTGCAAGGAAGATCAACTAGACTGGTTCTAGAAGTAGCACAACATTTAGGTAAGAAAAATTACCGAAACTGCTTTGGTTGAGAGTGTTCAACTGGCCTGGAGTGTTAAATGATGAGCTGACCTAAATTATAGCGTTATAGACTACTACTGTATTTACTTTTTGATCTATGAAAGAAAATACAATCAAATCACCATAGCTGTAAAGAGCATAAAATTAGTAGAAATGTAAAGTTTGGTTGCAAAATTTTGCAAGAGGTGGAAAATATACCGTGCAGGTCTTGCTAAGTTGGCCAATTTTGTATGCTTTTGTACTATGGAAATCATTACCATTTTGCCTGAATGTGGTAACAATCTCCATGCATAGTAAAAAAGTATACATGTTTGCCATTTTTGCTAGGCTATATTTTTCGCATTTACAACATTTCGCAAACAAACTTTGTATTTCTACTAATTTTAATACGCCCTTTTCAGCTCTTTAATATGCCCTTTGCATTTTAATGGATACAGTAAATAAAGGGTAGTCTACATGCACATTGGGAACATGTTTTGCTGACGAAATGTACAATACAGTTGTATGTCTAGCTCTGGCCTGCTTTTGAATCATTGCTTCTGAATGTTTTAAATATATAGTTTTATTGTTCCAGGTGAAAACACTGTTCGTACTATCGCTATGGATGGTACAGAAGGATTGATTCGTGGCCAAGAGTGTGTTGATACTGGTGGACCAATTACCATTCCTGTTGGCCCCGAAACACTGGGCAGAATCATCAACGTCATCGGAGAGCCTATTGATGAACGCGGACCTGTTCCTACTGACTTGTATGTATTATCTACTTACCCGCATAATTCCTGCCTACGAATCATTCACAAACATTAAAAAGTCCAAAAAAATGTCCGTAAATTTTGTCTCGCCTACGAATTATTCACAAACATTAAAAACATTTGTTCTCTTATTGCACTGTGACTATGACGTATGCTCTAAATATACACTGCTCGATTTTGCACAGATGTTTTTTTAAATTATCCACTTTCAACATTCTTTAGACGATCAGCTATTCACGCCGAAGCACCAGAATTCGTAGAAATGAGCACAGAGCAAGAAATATTGGTTACTGGTATTAAGGTTGTTGACCTTTTGGCACCATATGCTAAAGGTGGAAAAATCGGTATGGAGACAGTCGCGTTAAATTTTGCGGTTAAAAATACGTTGCATGTTGCCAGTTTCTAGTAGCTACTTCAAGCTTGCCCTGCAAACGAAATAAAACTATTTCAGTTAACACTTTTTTGTCTTAATGAATTGGAATGAAATATAATGAGGCCTCTTGTATTTGGACTGTCAAAATGTCCACGCATGTCGGTTGTTTTGTTATTAGCCAATTTCTGATCGTTACAGTTCGTACTGATTGCGATTGCATTGTGTTTAAAAGGTCTTTTCGGAGGAGCTGGTGTGGGGAAAACCGTGCTCATTATGGAGCTGATTAACAACGTTGCCAAAGCGCATGGTGGTTATTCCGTGTTTGCCGGTGTTGGTGAGAGAACGAGAGAAGGAAATGATTTGTATCATGAAATGATCGAGTCTGGTGTTATTAATCTTAAAGATAAATCCTCGAAGGTAAAGTTTCGGTAAAAAAGCGGGTACCAGTTCATCGGTTACCATCGTTTTGTCATAAAACAAAAGCTGAAAACGCTCAAAACGTTACTGAAGGTTCTAAGTGTTCGAAACTTTTCGAAACAAGTCTTTGATTTTGGCTTTTACAAGTATATGGTCGACAAAAAGTCGTGATTGCCGATGAACATGATCGGCAACGTTTGGAATGTTACTCTGATACTGCCTATTTTGTAAAATTTGTCGTAATTTTGGTTTTGGCTTCATTTGCAGGTAGCGCTTGTATACGGACAAATGAACGAGCCACCTGGAGCTCGTGCTCGTGTAGCATTGACTGGTTTAACCGTTGCTGAATACTTCCGTGATCAAGAAGGACAGGATGTGCTGCTTTTCATTGATAATATTTTCCGTTTCACTCAAGCTGGTTCCGAGGTAAAAATATGTGCAGATGGCTAGGTTTGCACTACTATAGTTTCTGTTTTCTGCGTTCAGAGTCTTCAAAGCCCCCAACGTCTTCGAAAGTTTTTTACGTTTTCAAATACATACTGTGATCAAAGCCTGACACAAACTTTGATAGTGCAAACTTGCTTTATTATCTTGCACGTGTGCCCTTATTCAGATGTGGTAACGAAAAAATTGTGAAACATCTCCAAAGTTGTACAGTATGTACTTCTTGTGATCGTGGATAACAATGTTACCTTCCCTCAAAGACAAGATTCTGGGTTCCACTCAATACCAACATGGTCTACCTCGAATCAGTTCTGGTGTGTTCAGTCTCTTAGATTTTCTTAACAACGACTATCATTTTAGGTGTCAGCTTTGCTGGGTCGTATTCCATCAGCTGTAGGCTACCAGCCAACTCTTGCCACTGACATGGGTACTATGCAAGAAAGAATCACGACAACCAGGAAAGGATCTATTACGTCCGTACAGGTACCGTACTGTATTTGTTATCCTCTGGGTTCTGTATATGAAAAATATTTTGTCAGAATGTAGGGTACAGACGAAATGTTCTTTGAATCACTGGTTTGTGTTAATCTTTGTTCACACATACTCCTGAGGCCAGTTTATGCAACAGTTGGTCAACGTTTTTCAATTATCACAACACCCTAGATTGTTATTTAATTATTTTGTGGTGTCATTTTCTTCTTTTTTTTCACTGTCAGGCTATTTTCGTACCTGCTGACGATTTAACTGATCCGGCTCCTGCGACGACGTTCGCCCATTTGGACGCCACCACCGTCTTATCTCGTGGTATTTCAGAGTTAGGTATCTACCCTGCCGTTGATCCTCTTGACTCTAGTTCACGTATCATGGATCCTAATGTTGTCGGTTCAGAACATTATAACATTGCACGTGGAGTCCAGAAAATCCTGCAGGTAAGCATCTCGAGCTATTGCGGCGATTTCGTGATTTAAAT